TGGTAACCCTAAGTTTGTTTTCTATGTCTGTGAGTCTGTTTCCGCTTTGTAAATAAGTTCCTTTGTATCATTGTTTTAGGTTCCACATAAAAACGATGTCATATGGTATTTGTCTTTCTCTTTCTGACTTACATCACTTAGTATGATGATCTCTAGGTCCATCCATGTTGCTGCAAATGGCATTATTTCATTCTTTTTTGTGGCTGAGTAATATTCCATTGTATCTATGTACTATATCTTCTTTATCCATTCCTCTGTCGACAGACATTTATGTTGACTCCATGTCTTGGCTACTGTGAACAGTGCTGCTATGAACATTGGGGTGCATGTATCTTTTCAAATTAGAGTTTTTCTGGATATATGTCCAGGAGTGGGATTGATGGATCATGTGGCATCTGTTGTTTCTTGAGGTGGCAATCTGAACTACACATGAAATTGAAGGTGTGCTGTGGCCGTAGCTTTTCATAAAAGCAAGACAAGCGTGTAGACTTTTTCTAGTGCTCCTCTTGGAGCACCATTTGCCCTGCAGCATTAGGGACAATCTACGTTTTTCATCCTCAGCACACTCTGGTGGGTCTACTTCCTGAATTGTGCCAACATTCCATATGTGCCATTTAACCACTTTACTCCTAGAGGCATTGCATGTACAGAACTCACTTTGGAACAATATGCCACTTTCCTGCTTGTTTGCCCAAGACTCCTAGGAGCTTCCTGTTATCCATCCTCAAGAGCTTGACTTTTCACTTCTTAGATACTTAAGAGATTTCACTGACTGTTCATGAGTCAAACTGCCCCGACTAAGGAAGATTCCTGATGAGAATCGCTCTTATGTTCTCCATTTGGGATGTACCACCTTCTCCCTAATTTTTGCTTCCGGTGTCAATGCCAATTCTTTTTTCACAACAAAATTTCACAACAAAATACTTAAGAGATTTCACTGACTGTTCATGAGTCAAACTGCCCCGACTAAGGAAGATTCCTGATGAGAATCGCTCTTATGTTCTCCATTTGGGATGTACCACCTTCTCCCTAATTTTTGCTTCCGGTGTCAATGCCAATTCTTTTTTCACAACAAAATAGGGAACCTGATCCCAAGGTGACTTTGTTTAAGTAATGGTCTTTGGTGTGGAACCTTGTCAAAGACCTTTAGAAAATCTTTCTCTTTCCACCGCTTTTCTTCATCCTGTTATATCTACTGAAAATGTTCTTTAAAAAGATCCCTTTGTATTTAACTCTTTGGTGCCTCCGTTCTCCATAGCCAAGTCCACCATCTCCACTCACTCATTCAACTCCTGAAAGGTTTATCCAGTGCCAGGGCTGAGCAAGGTCTGAACTCAGCTGGTACTGGCGTGCTTCCCACGGTGTACATTCCTGCATACCCCTGAATCCTTCTTTGTGACAGAGGTCACATTTGCAATCTGACATAGTAGCTTACATACCAATAAATTCCAGTGGCCTAATTTCACCCTTCAGTTCCTGCAAAACACTCATTGAGCCGCCCTCCACTGGGTGATTTATCTAGATTTATTATGTCGATTTGGCAAAATAGCTCTGATACAACCACTCTTGGGTTTAATAGCAGTAATCTTGCATTTCCAGCAACAATACAGGACTGGTAATCTCCCTAAGACCTTCTGCATTAAAAGCTAAGGTTTAAGAATTCACCCGTGAGCTATCATCATTTCATCCTCTGGAGAGCTCTCTGTCCCAACATCATCTGTGGTCTGTCCTCTTTCTTGAGTTAAATTGTCCTCTCTGAGTAACACTGACACTATATACACTACCAAATGTAAAATGGATGGCTAGTGGGAAGCTGCTGCATAGAACAGGGAGATCAACTCGATGCTTTGTGACCACCTAGAGGGGTGGGATAGGAAGGGTGGGGGGGAGGCTCAAGAGGGAGGGGATATGGGGATATATGTATACATATAGCTGATTCACTTTGTTGTACAGCAGAAATTAACACAACATTGTAAAGCAATTACACTCCAATAAAGATGTGGGAAAAAATATGGAAATTAATCCTGAAATTAACCCCAGACCATTTCAAAGCACTGGGTTTTACAGATCTTGAACTACTCTAAAGTAAATGTTGAAAATGTGAACTGCATAAAAAATAAAAATAAAAATAAATTGTTCTCTCTGACTCATTGAAAGAAACTTGCATTTGCTCTTGAGGTCTCACATATGATACTCAATTTCTCTGCATTTTGAAGATTACTTTATCACGATATTACTCCTATTCTTCCACACTTTGTAGACTCTCCTGTTATTACTTGAACCATGTTTCAGCTTAGGAAGAGAAGCTAATTACTTCCTAAAATAAAGTTATTGATACTTCCAGGTATCCGTGCAATTGGGAATGCAGGGGATATGGAATAATTTTGAATGAGGTGGTTTTTACAAAATCATTGCATTTTTATTACAGCTACCTGCCCCAAAATTAGTGAACCACTTAATCAAAATTCTAGGGCACCTATTATAATGATTAATAGTCATTAATTAATATAAGGCATTTATTGTTCACTAACGCTATGTGAGACAAAGTGTGAGGCACTGGGAATTCAATTAATTGAGAGGACATAATTTCTGCCCCCAAGGATCTCACAGTGTGGAGTCGAAATACATGCAGACACGTAAACAAACAAATCAAGGTCATTCGGTGATAGGTGAGTGACAGATGCCAAATAATAGGTAAAAGTAAAGGGAAGAGTGATTGCTTCCACATCAGGGGAAGAACTGTTTTCGGAGCAGAGTGAATGATGATATTGAGCTGAGACTCCATGAATGGGTGGGAGAGTCCTGAGCAGAGCATAGGGGGAAGGGCATTGACAGGGCACTGTGGTGTGGAGTGCAACAGAAATGGTAGCCGATGAGCCTGGAGAAAACAGATAAGGTTAGAACTATATCCCGCAGGCAAACGGAAGCAACAGGGTTATAAATAATGAAGTACCGTCATCCCTCGGTATCTGCAGGGGTTTGGTTCCAGGATACCAAAACCCGGGGATGCTCAAGTCTCCTACAGACAACCGCTATATCCACCCACAGTTGCTTAAATCCGCAGATGCAGAACCGCGAATACAGGGCTCTGACTGTAACATGGTCAGATCTATGATATGAGTGTGTAAGCAGAGAGATCATTTAAGAAGTTATTACAGGGCTTCCCTGGTGGCGCGTTGGTTAAGGGTCTGCCTGCCAATGCAGGGGACACAGGTTCGAGCCTTGGTCCGGGAGGATCCCACATGCCTTGGAGCAACTGAGCCCGTGTGCCACAGCTGCTGAGCCTGCACTCTGGGGCCCGCGAGCCACAACTACTGAGCCCACATGCCGCAACTACTGAAGCCTGCACACCTGGAGCCCGTGCTCTGCAACAAGAGAAGCCACCGCAATGAGAAGCCCGCACACCGCAAGGAAGAGTAGCCCCCACTCGCCGCAACTAGAGAAAGCTCCCACACAGCAACGAAGGCCCAACGCAGACAAAAATAAAATAAATACATTTATTAAAAAAACAAAGAAGTTATTACAGTGTTAAAGCAAGAGCTGATAGAAGCCATGGCAGTCGGAAGGGAAAGAAGGAAGTGGGTTTAATGTACAGTGAAGTGGGTATATCTGAGTACCTCAAACATTTATTTGGTTGGTAGTGAATTAAGGAAGAGCAAAAAATCAAGGGTGACCTCTTGCCAAAAATTCATTTCTGGGTAACTAGGTACATGGTGATTCTGACAACCCGAAGAGGGACTGTAGGAGGAAGAGCAGGTTAGTAGTTTAGTTGGTCTGAGTATTACGAGAGGGCTTTGAAAGATAATGAGTTCTACTTTGAATATACTTGGTTTGACGCAGGATATCCAAGTGAAGATTTCTAATATGTAATTATGTAAGTCTGGTGCTTAGGCTTAGAAATATAAACAGGATAGTCACTAGCATATAAGACTGGGTCAGTTTTGCATTCTGCCAACTGCCTTCTAAGGTACTATGCTAAGAATGACAGCAACAAAGATGAATAACAAATGATTCCTCTCTGGAGTCTAGTAAGGAACAAAGACACAATAATTTATGATGTCTTATTCTTCTAATATGTCAGATATCTGAATTTATTCATATAAATTACTTACTCTATATACTGAACCCTTGTCAATACAGACTCTACTTACCTTTCAGCTACATTATTATTTTAAATAACTCTTTTGATCATTCTTAAGAGTAGCAACCACCAAAGAAATGAATTACTAATATGATACACTGTCTGGTTCCAAGGATATAATAAACAGTTTATTCCAGCTGGAAAAATCATTTAGCAGAAATATTCTGCTTCTTATAGAATGCCCTTTATATCACATTTTGTGAAGGACAAGTTAGTTATACCTCTTGAATCAACAAAGATTTGGCTGCTCTCATGTCATTTAGGTAGGAGAACTATTCAAAAGAGCTCTTACTTTTGCCCCTTTAAAATACCAACCCCCTTTGAAAAGTAAATGTATCACTTTTAAGGACAGTTGTCTTGCGGGCAGGAAATGGTTGTTGAAAAAAAAAGTGTGATGAAAAAGTCTCGATATTAACCCTAACCCTTTTAAAATTCAGGAATTACCTGGCACACACAACTTAAGATTTTTCTGAAGCCTTGTTTAAATAAATTATAGAAACTGTGGCATCATCATACATAACATTATTTTATGAAACCCAAAGTGAAAAGAATGTTCTATAATTTTCATCTCCAGGTAAATAGCACGTATTTCTATGGCTACCAGTCTATGCTTTGAGCAAGGGGCATAGACAAAGAATAACTTAAAGATTCTGCAATCTCTTGAAAAAAGGAAACAGCAAATAGAGGGGTTTTTCAGAAACATGTGTTGAAATGTATTCATAACCTTTTTTAAAATGGATATGTTCACATAGTGCATGCAGCTCTGTTGTCCCATAGTTTCTACAGAACAGAAAATGTCAGACTGTGTTATTGGACGTTCTTCACATGACATCTCTTTTTTTCTATCATCATTAAACAGGGAAGGCCATGGTAAAATTTCAGTATTTGCTGTCAAAATGGCTTTAGCCACATTGTGTGGAGGGAAGATCATGGACAAATTAAGATGTAAGTTATTCTCTGCATCTCTGTTTACTTACCCCTCCTGTATACCACGTTTTCCTCTACCCCATTCCTGCCAGGTCCCCCTGACCATTTGTGACTTTCCTCATTCTGTGAGAGCTGTTTGAAATATAATCTTCGTTGATCCTTGGATTTTGTCGTAGAAATGTTTTCATATTAGATTAATGTCAATGAAATGAATGTTTTCCTTCTACGTATGGATTATCATTTTTTATAACCTGTTGAGGATCACCAGTTAGACTGTTCATGATACTAAAGTAAGATATACATTCTTTCACATTCATTTACTGTAAGAACTGCCTCACAGGCATAAGTCCGTCACCATAGGGAGATGAAGACCATGTTGGGCAACCTTCCGTTTCTCGATCGTCTCAAGCCGAAGTTCCCGGCACAATTCCTCATTCTGCTCCACCAATGCTGTTCAAATCACCGGGCACTCCAGAGTTTCCACAGTAGACATTGCCAGAGCACAGGCATAGGAATTATGTACAGAAACTATAAACTGAGAATTAACTGATGCCAATAGAGACATGATAGCTAGAGTGTTGAGTGATTATGGGCCTTTTGTGTACATTTTGTCACTAAATGTGGTAGTTTTTTAACCCACAAAACAGTGAGAGTTTTCTGATTTGTTCACATGTTTTAGGTAAAGAAGCTGAGACAGAGAGAGTTAATCACAGACGGTACCAGGAATTGAACCCTGACTTTTTCCCCGTACACCAGTGGTTTTCAAATTTTACTGTATATGGAGTCACCTGGAGGGCTTTTTTAAAAAAAAATGGATTTCTGGGTCTCATTTCCAGAATTTCTGATTCCGTAGGCCTAGAGTGGGTATATAGCGGGCAAGAATTTTCATTTCTAACTAGTTTAAAATCACGTATAGGTGGCTGTTTTGAAGAGAAATTGCCATGTAACCCTCTCCCTTCCCCTAAATATTATGAGTCTGAGTTATAATGCCGTATGACAAAGAGCACTGTCATGGGAATTGGGAGTCCCAGGTTGCAGGCCCAGCTGTGTGACTAATTTGCTGATTATTCTGTGGAAGTCACTTCACTTCTTTAGGCCTCAACTTGGGGATTTTGTTAGGTACCTGTAGGGTCCCTGCTGGCTGCAGGCCTCCATGACTCACGGCCTTTAGGCTCTTTTGTCACCTGCTGCCTGTCAGCTGCTGAATGTAATCTCTTGCTTCTTGATGCACCAACAGAGGAAGAATAAAGAAGGATACCGGGGTCGGGGTGGGGAGGACCTTTATTCCTTTGGAATTTCCCCAGACATGTTCCAAGAAGAGTTATGTCATTGGGGCAGTAGATAAGGGGAACCCCACATAACCACACATCTTCCCTCACTCCCAGGAACCTCCTTTCATGGACCAGCCAAGTGCAGTCAAGTTTCAGAGAAGCCCAAGCAGACCCTACAAGGTCCAGTTTAGTCTCTCTTCAGTTAGCCTGAAAGATGTAAAACTTTAAAGACATCTACCTCAGTACTTGATTGAGGATAACAGCTAAATTAGAAGGTGGCAGAAACAATGTCCTTTTAAAAAAAATAACTTAGAGTAATCCCTAAAGCATTTCCTTCAGGGTTAGGCTGGGAAGAGAAAGTTTAGCAAAATGAACCAGGGCAGAAGAAACTCCCGAGGGCCTTGCCTACTGACCTCATGTCACCATTGGCCACTTACGCTGAGGACAGTAGGTCAAGGTTTTTTTCAAAGTCTTAAGAAACATTTCCAAATACTTGTTCAATGTCAGGTACTTGGAGCAAAGGGTCCCTTAATAAAATAAGTTTGAGGAAAACTGAGAAAACCAGTTTTCTGCGCTTCAGAACTCCTCAGAGCGTTTCACTAACCAGGTTCATGCTGTGCCATCAAGGACCCAGGTGCTCTCCATCTTTCCACTCAGCTCTCCTCTGTGTCAGGTTTTCTCCTTCTCCTGAAGGTAAAAGGGGGTACAGCAATTTCAGGAGCCACACCCACTCCAGAGGCCCCCAGCCCTTACATCTCATGGCCAGGGTGGCATCACAGACCAATTACTACACCAGGAAAGGAATGCCCATGATGGTCAGGGAGTCTTCCAGTCGTTCTAACCTCCTGGGCTGAGAAGGGCCACTGCTTTCCCATAGCCCAGGAAGAAATTTGGGGCCAATAAAGCTGAAAGGAATGGTTGTCAGGTAAGCAACAAACGACATCAGCAGTTACAAAATTCAAGATTTAACTAAGTGTTCGAACAGCTCTTTACCACTTGTCAAATCCCTCAGAGTTCTCCCGCAAGTCTGGGATTTCAAAGCAAACCGTGTAACTGCTCCAGTGCTGTTTTCTCACCCCATCCCATCATTCACCAAATACCCACGGTCAGTGAGCAAAGCATGCGTGCTTTCCAGTGGCCAAAGTCAATTCTCTGCAGGTCAGTGAAAGAAGTCACAAATGCACGGGTCCCATTGGAAAGAAACTGTTCTCCAGTGTGCAGAAATAAGCTTCAGAGAGTCACAGATTCTGTAGAGAAACAGACTGTGTGATCACGACATTTCATGGTACCTCCTGGCAGAGCAGCAGACCTGAACGTGCCCCAGTTCTCTGAATGAGGAGTCACTATATAGTTAATCCCAGAAAGGTAGTTTTAATGGTTTCCAGGTAAGTCAGTTGAAAGCAATTTGGCCCAAAAAAAATTTAGCTAAAAGCAGTTTGGTTGGAAGAACCTCTCCAAAATGTTAATCAGAAATGAGTATCCTTAGTCACCAATATTTCAGTAATTGAATTGTTCAAACAGAATGAACAATGTTCATTGGCTGAATGAACAAATATGGGCAAATCCACCCACAGACAGCCATGGTTGACTCTTTTTTTTTTTTTTTTTTGACTATTTTTTTTAATAGACCTTTATTGGAGTATAATTGCTTCACAATACTGTGTTAGTTTCTGTTGTACAACAAAGTGAATTAGCCATATGCATACATATATCCCCATATCCCCTCCCTCTTGAGCCTCCTTCCCACCCTCCCTATCCCACCCCTCTAGGTCATCGCAAAGCACCGAGCTGATCTCCCTGTGCTATGCGGCTGCTTCCCACTAGCTAGCTATTGTACATTCGGTAATGTATATATGTCCATGCCACTCTCTCACTTCGTCCCAGCTTACCCCTCCACAGCAAGCATCATGCTCAATGGTGAAAAACTGAGAGCATTTCCACTAAGATCAGGAACAAGACAAAGATGTCCACTCTCACAACTCATAGTCAACATAGTTTTGAAAGTCCTAGCCGCGTCAATTAGAAGAAAAAGAAATAAAAGGAATACAAATTTGAAAAGAAGTAAAACTGTCACTGTTTGCAGATGACATGATACTGTACATAGAAAATCCTAAAGATGCCACCAGAAAACTACTAGAACTAATCAGTGAATTTGGTAAGGTTGCAGGATACAAAATTAATGCACAGAAATCTCTGGCATTCCTATACATCAACAATGAAAAATCAGAAAGAGAAATTAAGGAAACACTCCCATTTACCATGGTTGACTCTTGGTAAGTGGAATTGTGGTTTTCTTTCGTCTTCTTTTGCTGGCTTGCATTTAATCATAATACAGGCGGAGTAATGATTTTATAATAAGCATTGCTTTTATAATAAGAAAAATAAAATGAAAGGATATGGAATGTCTTGGGATTTTCCTTCTTTAAATTCTAATTCACTTTAACCCAGTATGCCAACTACGCTTGTTTGGCAGTTTTTCTATTTTTGTGCATAGGAATGAAAGAGATTTAGTTCATTCCAACGAGCCTCTTCATGTTGGAGAACACAGAGCAAGAATAGTTGGCTGAAAATAATTTAGAAATTTTAAAAAGCGAAAAAGTAGAAAACAGCAGAAATTTTAAAGCTGAGTTTTAAAAGCTGCTTTAAATACATTAAAAGGGACAACAACCCCCATGTTGCATCCCAATTTCCAGTACTCATGTCCACCAGGAACCAATATGCAGGGTGTTCATCAGGTACCCCAGGCAGCAGAGAGTGTGAGGGCACACCCTGCAGGCGTGGGACATAGCTACCTATACATAAACGGACCTAGTATAATATATTCTGTTTCTGTCAAACTGGTTTTGGTCTGATTATAGGCTGTTAAGGATCTTGAGGAATTCTGAAGCCAGTGCAATAAGCCTGGAAAGTCAGGTGCTATTCTAAAGCTTCTGGGGAGGGCTTGTTTACAGCAAACACCTTGTATTTCCTGAGTTTCTATTACTGAACAGGTTGTTCGGCCTCCAAGCTTACCTCCAGGGTAATATTTCTAACTTGCTGGCCTGCCTTTTAATTCTTCAGTACCTCCTTCATTACTGATTGCTCTTTATACTTGACCTAGAAGTCCCCTTTGTAAGGAAATCTTCCCTGACTCACTCCTCCCTCTAGGAACCCTCTCTCTGAGCTCCCGCTGCACCCTGTACACCCTACCGCTCCTGTACTCACACCACCTTGTCACCGTACATGATGTCGTGTCATCCAGGATGCAAGCACATCTCTGTCATCCCCAATAGACTGGGACCTCCCAGAGGGCAAGAACCATGTCCTGATTCTTCTGTATAACCATTGCTTAGCACAATTTCATGTTTATTAGGTGCCAAGTTCATTTTAGTGTAATACATCAATGAATGTAAGTTCTTCTGAAGTATCATTGTAAGGTGCTGCAGGAAACACAAAGGTAATTTAGACTATGATTTAGAACCTTATAGAACAGTCCTATTGGAGAGGCAAAGTCTAAACATACAAGGTAAATGGCAGAAAAGTGTGATGTAAAATTAATAATAAAAACAGATAACATTTCTGTACCATATGCTAGGTGCCAAGTATGCATCTGTGTGCTTTTCATCTAGTAACTAGCTTAATCCTTGAAACAGCCCTCTGTATTCTATAGATACACATATATTTCATGTGTGTATATATATGTGTGTATATATATGAGTGTGTGTGTGTGTGTGTGTGTGTGTGTATATATATATATATATATATATATATATATATATAAAAAAAACAGAGGGCCCAAGATTATGTATTAAAAAAACAGAGGGCCCAAGATTAAGGTACAAACACATACCATGTTGAGAGCTTCCTCAGAGTCCCCTCATTTCTTTTTAAAAACCTGAGTGGTCATTAACAGCCACTTCCCTTTAATCCCAGGGACTTAGCCCTAGTCTGGCTATTGCTTAGTAGAACTTTATCGGTACAATCAAGTTTGTGAAAGGTCACTGTTGGTGCCCCTTCTGCTTTTACTCTAGTTAGAGATGTTCTTTAAATTATCTCAGTGGGAGATTTGAAAAGCCTAAGCTACTCTTCAAAATGTGCCCTGGCCTAGAAAATCCAAATCTAGAAGTTCATCAGGATGGCCAAATTAGAGTTAACCACCCGGCCCCCAAACAAACAACATGGCACCTTTAATGAGAAAGTACACTTCTTCAAGGTTTCTTTTCCTCCTTTTGATTGGAATTCTTGAGTTTCTATATGTGGAATTATACAAGAGTTTTGTTTTGGGTTTTGGGGTTTGTTTTTTTTTTTTGCTGTTGGCAACTTCTTTTTTTTGACTAGTTATAATGAAGCATGAGAGATGAAATTCACTAAGTAAACAATATTGTGAAAGTGAATGAGAACAACATTCATTTTTGTTGCTCATATAGAATTTCTGTAGCTTCGTAATTGATTAACTATTTTAAACACAGTAGAAACCCTTTGTAAGCGGACTATTTAAAGAAAATGAGAGCCAGTTCACATCCTCCAAACATAATCCAATAAAAGCCTATAATATGCTTAACATCTGGCTGCGGTGTAAAACAATGCCCCCAGATTACATTTTGACCTTGAAAAATTAAGTCCAAAATGAGCAGAGGTAGCATATTGACTTTACAACAGTTTATCCCAGCAGCTGTGCTGGCCTAGTTACAATCTAGCATGGTGACAAACGATATAATAGCCAACCCTTTCCTTCCAATAGTGATCGCCACAGAGGAATTATAGAGTACCTTGGGAAATTATGCCAGTAATATTCATTAAGTGCCCACAGTGACAGAAACTGAAGAAAAGAGGTTCAGTGAAGCCAGTGGCTCTGCTGAGAATAATCTGGAACCCTGACTTCACCTCACTGATTGTCGGCAAGGCCAGGCTTCCTCTCGACTGCATGAGGCAAAAGACCCTTCCCCAGAAATCAATTGCCTTCCACCCAGAACACTATGATTTATAGGAAGTTTTCTGCTTCTGTGGGAAGTTAATCAAGTGATTTCATTGCATCCTTATCCCCATTATGTCTTTCATTTTTCAATATCTTAAACCAAAACCCAAACGTTTTAGTGACAATATAGACGGGTAAATAGCTAGCTTGCTAGATACACACACACCCTAACATTGTCGTAATATTTTCATTGTGTATTTCAAAAGAGGTCAGCATATTTCTCACATGTACAAAAACTCCTCCCGTCGAGTTATATATGAGTTGATAATTGATCTCAAACTAAAAATGTGATGTTCTCTGTCTTATCAAAATATGCTAATTTTGTCCAAATTACTAGTTAATGCTGTATGCCAGAATCATCTACAGAAAGACACCAGAGAAAACACCATGCCAGGAATATCTCAGCATAAAAACTAGCTTTCATATTATTCTTTCATAATAAATTATATATTTGGTTTCTGCCACGTTTTTTGTTATTTGCAGTAGATATATTGAACTAAAACAGTGGGGAATCTTTATGTGATGAATAAAGATCTTTCCTTTTCCATCCATCAGATATTTTCTCAATGATTTCTGACTCCAGTGGGGTGATGGTTTATGGACGATACGATCAGTTCCTGCGGGAAGTTCTCAAACTACCCACAGCAGTGTTTGAAGGGCCTTCATTTGGTTACACAGAGCAGTCAGCTAGATCCTGTTTCTCTCAACAGGTAGGAGGAAACTTGTTTAAGGAAGTATCTCTCAGTGGCTGCTCTCCTGTGTGTCACTCCAAGTCACTAATTCTTCATGGTAACTTGTAGTGTATCTTCCAGCTTCTGACAAATGACCTCTGAGTCAGTAACTGAACTCAACACATTTGGATAATAATAATAGGTGGTGTTTCCTGACCATGAACCAGGCATCATGCTAAGTTCTTTATTTGCATTGTCTAATTTAACCCCTACAGCAACGCTATACCCTCGGAAACATTATTACCACCACACTGTCAAAAGGGTTGAATTGTTACTCAGCCTCACATGAAACATGAGTCTGACCCAGCACCGAGCTTCACCAACGTTTAGCAAAGGAGACAAGAAAGGAATCACAGCACATGCCCCATGCCATCTGGGAGGCCCTAAATCTTCCACTACATTGGGGCTCAGGGCAACATGTTTTAACTGGGGGTGGTACGAGTCAGCCAAGGGAAGCTGCTTAGTTTGGGGGACTCTCTGTGTTTATATCTCTCCAGTCATGTGGAAAATCTACATGTCTAGAACTATTCTTCAGCACAGCATAGTGGAGATTTAGAAATCCATAAACTGAAGATTTGTTTACAATTTTTAAAAATCCGAACTGACCAAGTATGTCCTCTAAAAGGATCCCTTAAATAAGAAATCAGTGCTTAGCAGCCACTGAAAAGCTGCATTTACCTCCAGCTAGTAAACCTCATCTGTCTGTTTACTTGGTGATCTAAGAGGTCAAAGGTGGTGCCTCGGGCATCCCTGTAGGGCATGGATTTATATAGAATTATAAATGTATCCATACACTCAATAAGAGGAGGGATGGCTTGATACTTTAAGTATCAAACTCTACTTCCGCTGGGGGGTCGGGGACAGGATGGGGTCTCACCCAGGAAGCCTTTCTGACCTTTCCCACGCCCTCACCCCCAGGCTGGCTTAGATACCTGGCCTCTGTCCCCAGCTAAAGCATACTCCTCTTTGGAGTTCCCTTTCCCTTTCGAGTTGGTGACCTCAGAATGGATCCATTCGCCTAAGCCTCCTTCTATACAGCTTCACCCAGAACTTCTCATCAATCACCAAGTCCTATTGATTTCACCTTCTAGAATTTTCTCAGTTCTCTCTCCTCATCATCCTCGATTGCCTGGCCTACTGCATTAAACCCCAAACTGATCTCTCTGCCCCTGGATTTACTTGTTTGTTTGTATATTTGTTGATTTTAGGTAGTGCATTGTAGAATCCTCAGGAAATATCCTAATGCCTCAGAATATTTCTCATGAAAAGTCAGCCAGAATAATAGGACTTTTTTAACCTAATAGAATTTATATATTCAAAAAACTTATATAGGATGTTGCCATTGCTCAAAATTCCTTTTGAAATATCCTAGAGACTTCCCATTATATAATCTTTTATATACCCTCAATGATGAGAAATTTATGTATGTGGAAATCATAGTAGCATTTTTTGACTTCCAGTAGTGATTTTTAGCCAGTATGATGAATGGTCAAAATAGATAAAATCATGTGAAATACAAAAAGAGGCAACACTAATAAAAATAATAAGACCAGTTTATTTTTGTGCTTCATAAACTGGCTATAGCAGCAGTTCAAATGATGAAATTCCAAAATTGTTTTAATTGCTTCATTGCAAAGCCGCCCCAAGTGATTGTTTTGAAACACAGTATTATTTTAGACATATGAATTGTAGTAGCTTTTGAAAAACTACTGTCTCATTACTTATACTTTACATAATTTATCTTTTAATAATAATGCTAATAACAACCCTGTAGAAAGCTTATTTAGTATTATGAGGTAAAGCTAAAACTGTAAATATCTGCCAATAAGAAAACATTAATAGAAGGGTACCAAAACAGTTGTTTTGTGAATTACAAGGACAAGTGTAAGGTTTAAGCCTTGAAAAGGCACTGTAGCTCTTCAGGGCTGATTTCTTATCTAAAAATATAAAACTATCCCATCCACATTGATATTCTAATTCAAAAATTTAAATAAAGTAGTGATTTTTGCATGTAAATTTTTTGTCATTCACACTATGAAATATCATATATTAATATAACTTATTATTTTTTCATTTTGAAAGAAACTTATAGATAAAATACATTTCTTTTCTGCAACAGAAAAGCCTAGGATAATGACACAGAATCCAACTGAATTGTAAGAAAAGATACATAAAGAAAGTAGAGAAGAGAATTTTTTTTTAATTTAGAGTGTTCTTTTCTAACAGGGAAGGATAGCTCCCTCCGAACAGGATTCACTCCTAATCTTGTATAGCAGAACCATTCACATTAACCACAAAATATTTAGTCCTTATGGAAGTTGAGGAGCTTTGAAAGGGAAGCTGTTCTACAAATTTAGAAGACTGATACGGGAATTGTCGAGTGTGCTGTGATGTACTATTGGGTAAAATTTTATGGAGAATGTCTACTCTCCGTCTTTCCTCATCATTTTCATACTGTCTCTCGTGTATGAAAATGATCCCCTCAGAATTACTTTTCTCCTTGTGATAATATTGACTCAGCCTCAGTGGAGATAATCCAGTCCTATGTAGGCTTAAATATAAAAAGCAATTAATGTTTTAAATTCAGAACTAGTTTCAAGCTCTGTTTCTTTATGTATTAGAGGTTAATTGAATGTCTTGTTTCTTCTATCTCAAATGATATTTACATAGCAGGTAAATTAAGATTATTCTTGATTCTAAATTTTTATGGGTTTTTTGATGCAGAAAAAAGTCACCTTAAATGGTTTCTTGGACACACTCATGTCAGATCCTCCCCCGCAGTGCCTGGTCTGGCTGCCCCTTCTGCATCGACTGGCAAATGTAGAAAACGGTGAGTAGTTACTACTGAGGCAATTTTTTTAGCCTTTTTTTAAAATTGAAGTATAATCGATTTAAAATGTTGCATTAGTTTCATGTGTACAGCAAAGTGAGTCAGGTATATATATATATATATATATAAAATATATATTATTTTCCCTTATAGGTTATTACAAAATATTGAGTATAATTCCCTGTGGTATACAGTAGGTCCTTGTTGGTTATCTATTTTAAATATGGGAATGTATATATGTTAATATACATGTAAATAACATATATGTATATGTTAATCCCAAACTCCTAAGTCAATTTTTTTCATTACCAAAATTAGGCCATCAAATCTGTAGTTATTAAGCCAAGGTCATTGTTTTAGGGAGGTCTATTTAGTAGTTCTGAATTTTAATAGAACTAACCTGTCTCCCTCATCAGTAAGGCCTTATAGGTGCACTGCACAATTAGGACTGTCCGTTCTAAAAATTTATTACATCTCACAGTCTACCTCTCAGTTACAAATCAGGTGTGGCTTAAAAACTTACTGTAATGGAAAGAGAACCTCAGTAAGGAATGTGACATTTTCTAGTATTTGTTTTAGGTATGAACTTCTACTCTTGGTATACCTGGCGTTGACTATTTCTTCCTAGGCACTCCATCAGGAATAGGTGGAGGAGATAGAAAAAAATTGGATGGTTGCACCTTGCTAATCTTTAGTCATATGCTCCAAATTGTAAGCTTTCAATGGTTGTAGTTATGTAAAAGAAATGAGTAATGTAACTTTTGTCATGTGCTTTTGTTTCTATAAAAGCAAGTATTTCTATGTAAAAGTAATTACTCTTGGCATATCCAAACTTAAATATAAAATACAGTTCAGAGCAAGGTTTAAAGAAGTTTAAACACGGAACAATTCATTGCCTCCATCTGATCTTTAGATGTTCTTATTTACTGTTTAATTTAACTCTGGGAATTCTCTAGCCTTAAATAGAAAATAATTTATCCCCTATATCTCTTACTAGAATCTTAACTTCTACACATCTCTTTAATATACATTGGGGTTAAAGTTAGCTTATTTTAAATTCCCATTTAGAACATCTGGCATCTGCCCTAATTATCTCCCTTAGTCAAAGTTATAAATCTATCCTGTTCTGCTCATGGAGAAGATTTAAAGAATGAACTTACTAGTTTCTCTGTAAGCACTACCAATCACAGATTTTATTTTTTTTATGCTTCTTATTCATCTGCTAGAGCAAAGAGCAATCAAGGTCCAGATCATGCAGGATGAGCTCATATTACTGTTTTGCAGTTTAAGAACTAGTCATTTTCCAATTATAAACTTGTCATTTCATGGCTTCTCTCTCAGCATTTCCTGTTGCAGGAAATGAGTTCCTTAGGCCCTGTCCCAGAACAGTTGTCCCTAGATTCAAGTCTCACTTCAGCCTTTCCCAGGAGGCAGAAAAAGGGAATATGATGCTGGTTCAGAAGACAGTGTGTTCAAAACTGGTTATGTCTTTGTTTTTACAATTTACTTTTCATCTTTATTTATTTTTATTTGCATTATTTTCCCTCGCTGGTTAGCCAGAGAAAAAGTTTACCAAAAGCATGAATTGTTCTTATTGTTGTTGATATCTTTAGCTCATAACACGCAGTTACTTGGATTCAAATCTCAAATATTTTACCTTGCCTGCTTTATAATTCAAATCTTCTGCCAAAGAAAGTTGTGTCTCTTGAACTATCTGACTTAGAACTGTATTCAGACAACTTATTCATCTCTTTGGGCCCTATCCATCTGCCTCTCCGGGAAAAAAAAAAAAATCTGTTAAACAAAAGCAGTGTCACTCATTAAATAAGCCCATTAGCTACTCATTTTTTAAAAAGTAACTCAATTCTCCCATCCAGTTTTTCTACTCTTCTTCCATTTGCCTTTCTTTCTTCTTCCGCTCCTTTTCCATTTCTCTCATATTTGCTCTCAACCCACTGGGCAATCAGCTGTGTCCATCCATTGTGCTTCTGAGTCTTCCGTGAGCTGTGCCGATCTGGAGACAGAGAGCATTTGGGGGAAAGGCGAGCGAGTTTGGGTACTTTAGAGTCTCGTAGTATAAGGGACGGGAGTAAGAAGAGCAAATGGAATTACAGAGATTTCCCCTTAAAAGAACCCCTATCCTGCATCCCCTTCTGTTTCTCCCACCTCCACACACATGCTGGAAAAGGGTAGTGAGAGTCTAGGAATAAACTTAATGCTTCTCTCGGCGAAAACTGACGATCATCGGAAATCATGGCGCACAGCAGAAAAATGCAATTCTTGTCGGACTGTATTTTTCCTTCTTCTGGCTCATACTTTTGTTTTCTTGTTTTTTTCTTCATTAACTTGCCCCTCAGTCTTCCATCCAGTTGAGTGTTCGTACTGCCACAGTGAGAGTATGATGGGATTTCGCTACCGATGCCAACAGTGTCACAATTACCAGCTCTGTCAGGACTGCTTCTGGAGGGGACATGCCGGTGGTTCCCATAGCAACCAGCACCAAATGAAAGAGTACACGTCCTGGGTAAGGCAAGGTCCAGGCAATACTCACAGTTGGATGTGTGAGTGTCGTCCAGAATACAAGGGAACGGCAAGCATGGTGACTGAATCAAGCGACACGCTTACCTTCTCCTCTCACATTCCCTCCTTCCCCTCCCACTCCCCACCTTACTGGGACCTCGTATGGTGTCTGAACCCAGTGTAGCTTCCTAAGGCTTAAAATATAGGAAGACTCAAATGATATTACTTATTGGAATACAGATAATTCAGTATCGATTTAGGTAACAACCAAACAGCAAGCACCTTCTGGAACATAATCTCATTTTCACAGTTAAGTTAAGGTTCTTTTCAAGTTTGGGGGTGGTTTGTGGGAATTGCCTAAAAATTATTGTTAGTTAGATTCTGGAGTTGTCTTAACTGCATGACTGGAACATGAAGGAAAGACCTGTGAGCATGTGGGCTTAAGGATGCTGTTTCATTCTACTTTTTTAGAGGAGGGGGAGATATTAGAAAATCATCTTTTCATGAGTAGGGCAAGTGACTAACTTGCTGGAGGTGACCTGTGATACTAACCTGCTAAAGGTGACCTGTCCATGTGATGAAAGTGTTCTCAGGTGCACATGGCCCTGAGTCTATGGGAGGAATTTGACTCCGTGAGCTTGCTGTTCAGGTGGTTTACAGTTTGCTGACCTCTGTCTCAGTTCAACTCAAAGACCAGATCCAGTGATGTTGTTCTGGTGCTTCTGGGAAAGTATTGCTCTATGTACAGATTATTTTTCGTGGAATGTGCCATCAGCCCTGCCAACTCCTCTTGGAATAGTTGTATCACAAGAAAATGCAGACGTTTTAAAAGCATTTTTTCTATATTTTAATGTGTCTCAAATCAACCTATAGTCTTTACTTAAAGAGTAACTCATTTTATTTTTACAAAGGTCTTCAGATATGCATTTTAATGGAAGTATAGTTTATTTACAATGTTGTGTTAGTTTCAGGTATACAGCAAAGTGATTCAGTTATACATATATGTATAATGCATATAATATATTTATTCTTTTTCAGATTCTTTCCCATATAGGTTATTACAAAATATTGGGTATAGTTCCCTGTGCTATACAGTAGGTCTTTGTTGTTTATCTATTTTATATATAGTAGTGTGTATATGTTAATCCCAAATTCTTAATTTATCCCTTCCTGCCCACCTTTCCCCTTTGGTAAAAATAGTTTATTTTCTATATCTGTGAGTGTGTTTCTGTTTTGTAAATAAATTCATCTGTATCATTTTTTTTAGATTCCACATAGAATTGATATCATATGATCTCTGTCTTTCTCTGTCTGACTTACTTCACTTAGTATGATAATCCCCAGGTCCATCCATGTTACTGCAAATGGCATTATTTCATTCTTCTTTATGGCTAAGTAGTGAAAATACACATTTTAAATCAGAATGTTCTTTCTAGGAATTATTATTGGGAACTGATATTCAGTGCAAATACATTAATTGTTTAGCACATGTCAGATTCTGAGTTCAAGTAAGAGTTCTTCACTAAGGCATTGTATACTGAGGGCTTGATGCCAGTTCAAATGCCACCCATCACTACTGGCTATATCGCATGCTGAGAATAGATATACTAGCACAGATCATGAAATACAATTTAGTATAGAACGCTGGAGGAAATACTTTCTATTTTCTTATTGTCAGCGTATTACCAATTTTCAAATATGTTCTATTCCAAGTCCTAGAGGGTTGGTGATTGTAGACTAATCATTTGTAATTGTTGTTTTATGTAAATGCTAAAGTCAGATAAGGAGACTTTTCTTAGGGGTTGTGAACTCTGCAATTATATGGCAGGACAATGTCTTTACAGAGTAGGATCAGACTCCTCACGAGGACAAAGGAGCCCCAATGTTTATGGGGTGAAGAGCTGTTGTTACTGCTGTTTTAAGTGTTCTAAGAATTATACCTCCTAGCAAAAGCCAAAGAGGGACTTCTTGGACAATGTTCCCATTACTTAGCTTTTAAAAATGGGGACAAAAGTCACTTCGTTATGTTGCCAGTTATGGACTCTACGTATCAAAGAAAGTGACAAAATGAGAAATCGCTTCTCACAGAAAGGAAAAATTGGGGTAAAGATTTATTATATTTGGTAGACTATTTTTGATAATCTTGGCTGTGAAATTTTAAAATAAACATTCCACTGGTCCAAGTGAAAAAGAGGTAGCATGATGCTCTGGAAAGAACATAAATTCTAGAGACTTGGATTGAAGTTCCACTTTTCCTTCTAACCGGATGTCTCCAGCCACACCTGAAACATCTTGCCCCTGGATTCCCGCAAAACCTCCTACCCATCTCCTTACTTCCATTCCCATCCCCTCTCAAACCTTTTTCTGTTTTTAAAGAGAAACAATCCTTCTAGAATCAGGTCACCTCTGAGATTTAACCTGTTCATTGTCTCCCTCTGCATTTGAGGTAAAGACCACAATCTTGGACGCGGCATATAAGACTTCAGTGGTCTCCCTCCTGCTTTCCTCTCCAGAACACGGTCTCCTGTTCCTCCTCCATCTGGAATTACCTTCCAGTCCCCTGAGTTTTGTCAGAAGGACCCCTGCTGTTCATTAAGTCCCAGCTCAGACGTCCTGAGCACAATGACTGCTTCCATTTATCACAGCGTTTGCTGACACTGTGCAACCCGAGGCAGTTACCCTGATGGCTAATTCCAAGCATTCTGGTCCCAGCAAAGAGCAAAATCCTTGACTTAGAGTAGATTATCAAAGAAGATTTCCTGAATGAATGAATGGATATCTACTATGAAAACAAATCATCTGATGAAATGTTACATAAATGTTGGTTGTTATCACTTGAACCTTTCTTCTTCCCTCCAGAAATCACCCGCTAAGAAGCTCACCAACGCGTTAAGCAAGTCTCTGAGCTGTGCTTCCAGCCGTGAACCTTTGCACCCCATGTTCCCTGACCAGCCTGAGAAACCACTCAACTTGGCCCACATCGTGTGAGTATCTCTACCCTCCAGACTGAGAGACAGCTTTCTTCACTAATGCGCGTGCAGATCCATACAAAGACAATTAATTTCCTAGTGGTTGTCAGGGACCAAGTTTTAAATTTTATTGTCTTAAAAAAAAAGAGTGAAAGTCATGTTATTATAATTTTTTTCATGGAGAGGCATACAGTACTTCTGCCCACATGTACAAGTGCGCCCCACTGTGTAATTTACCTTGAAGTGGAAAATATTCCAAAATTTTATAATTGTAAAATAACGATGTTATTGGAGTTTGCACAATTGGATGTTAGTAATCAACGGAATTACCGTGGTCAGGAAATTTTAAAGCACGCCGTACCTTAACGTCATGTGTGCTTTGAGTCCCAAATAGAGAAGCCCTCTGTTTCCTTTCTCTGCACAGCCAGTCATCTTAAAGATGCCAGCAAACCTAGGAATCATTGCTGTTGTTGTTGTTTTATCCCAAGTTACATAACTCTAGAAGAATCATGGCCTGTGCAAGGGAGGGTTGAAGAAGGGGTATTGGAGGGGAAGTTCATCCAAAGTATGTGTGAGTTTGGGAGGCAAAGGGAATTGGCCCAAGGAGCAGTGCTACCACCCACCCCTTCCACCTCCCAATAGCCTCATGTCGGGGGGCCTCTCTCAGGCCTAGCTGGCTCAGAAAACAGAGGAGGCTTAGGGAGAAGAAAGTATTTCTTTATTGGGTGTTACCTTGGGCTCAGAAGAAGAAAGAAGTTCATTACCTACTTTGGGGCACAGTTAGGAGTTACGTAGTCACAAGTGTCTCAGGAAGCCTCTAGAACAGGCTTTCCCCGTCCTTCTGAACTGCCTTTCATTGTGCACACTTCAGCACTACCACCCGCACTGCAGGGCCTGTGTTTGCCTGTTGACCTCGAGAGGTTGGCTGATGGGACACATGGGTGTTAGGAATCCACCAAGGCAAGGTTCACGCTTAAGGCAGATGAGAACATAACCCATTAGAGGCACTGTGGTGCATCTCAGAGCCTTAGGAAAACAGCCACTCTTTCCCCTAATGGACATAAACAGATCCCATCAGACCACTGTGCTGCAGCATGTATGTGTGGACTTTGTATAAATCCCACAGGGCTTTGTTTGGTTTACTCTGGGTGTGCGCTGAGGGTTCATTGCCCCCAGGAATCCACACAAGTCTGGAAGCATCCACAAACTAATGTAAACTGATTCTGTAGAATGTGGTTGACTTATTTTTGGAAATTTTGCTCCCAAAAATAAGGTAAACCAGGGGTAAAGAAATCTGGGAAGTGTCCCAAAGGACCAATCACTTGCAGAAAGCGAGCTCAGAAGAGCTGTTCTCCTAAAGTCTTGACTTAACTTCTCCATAGCCAGGGACGATCACTTAGTTGCTTGCGAATGAACAAAACATAAGTGAGAGTAGGTCTGGGCTCTCTGAGCTTGGCCACGGAGTCACTGTCTACCAGCCCCCTTAGGGGTTCCCCCACAAGAGAACAGCGTTCAATCGGAGATGATGGGTGTGGGGAAGGTAGGGAGAGGATGGGGGTAAACAGCCTGGCTCTAAGAGCTTTGCAGCAAAACGGAGTTAGGATGGGGCCTCACACTTGGAGAGAGAATTCAGAAGCGAGGCCAGGGACTTCCCTGGTGGTGCAGTGGTTAAGAATCCATCTGCCAATGCAGGGAACATGGGTTTGAGCCCTGGTCCAGGAAGATCCCACCTGCTGTGGAGCAAATAAACAGCCAAAAATAGCTAAATTTAAGAAAAAAAATGAGAAAGAAGTGAGGCCATGCCACACAATTTGGGTTCCATGGAGAGTTTCAGGATTCCCCTCAAATTCTACATGAAATGTGCCTTTTTCTGCTAAAAGTTCCACGTTTAACCAGATTCTTAAAATAGTCCTTGAATCAAAACACTGATCTGTACCCACGGATAATATATTTTTCCAGGGTGAATGTCAGTTTTAAAAGACAAATTATACAAAATATTTAATTGTTGAAATAACACACAAGAAATTCCGGATGCAGAGTGACCAATCTCTATTAGAACCGATTTTTTTTTTACTATTTTTTAGCTTTAGACATTTTTCTATTTGTTATTCTGATGTTATTGCCCTGAACAGATATTTATGTTCCTTTTTTTTTTTTTTTTGGATGGGGATAGCTAAGACTTCTAATCTTAAAGTATGCTGTTCGTTTAGCTATTCTAAATTATCATAGGCACATAAAAGCCACTTAAGTAGTGGCATTTTGGTGTTTTGGCATTTGTTCTTAGCTATTATATTGCTTGTAAATGTTACCATGATTAACTGTCTCCTTTCTATTCAATTTTTGGCTGCCAAAAGGGATACTTGGTAAGTCAATAGTCTTTAGTGTGCCTATCAAGACTTATAAGTGGTTATGAGACACAAAACAGGTGAGAGATATGAGGCTAGCTTAAAATTAATTCTGCCTTTAAGCTGAGCACTTTCGGTTTATGAAAAGAATGCCAATTTTATAAAAATGTCCTTTGCAGACATCTTGTCCAGAAAGAAAACTTTGCACTAGGCCTCTGTGACCTTATCTTCTGGAGCTATTTCTTTTTCATAAGACTAAATATGTTTAAAATTCCCAATGTGACCTATTTATTAGATAAGGTACCTTGCCACTTGATTGTGGAGGAAATAGGTCCCTTTGAAAACTGCTCTTTGGTGCCAAGGTTAGCCATTCTGTGTCCCAAGTTCAACATTTTCGTGATGAACGTGAAATGTGAAGCCGTTTACTAAGGAACTGCAATTTCAGCTTTGGGGTGACCAGGTTCAATAGAGTAAATTTACCAGACTAGTTAAAAAGCATTCCAAATCCACCTGTTTTCTCATTTCCTAGAGATAGAGCAAAAGGGGAACATTAATAAAAAGACAAAAGAAAACCAGAAATGTTGTCAAGTTGATTTTTTTCCACTTTTTTCAAAGTTAAAATGAAGATATTTCATTCTGCCCACTGTTTTAAAATCTGATACACCTAACTTTTCAAAATTCACAGAGCACATTTGTTTAGAATTAGCATCCTTCTTATAAAGTGAAAGTGTCCTGCTCAAAGCAGAATTAGCTTTAAACTAGTCTCATGTATCACGCATATCCTAGATAAGTAATATAAAACACTAAGCTAGTTTTCAGAACTTCGGCTAATATGTTCAGAGTAGATTAAATACTGAACCGGCTATTTTGACCTCACCCAACAAAGAATGTGTCTTTAAAAAATCTGAGAACACAGTTTAGCATTAGGTACTGAGAACCAAAAGTGTCAATGAATTTTTGCATGTAGTGCTGACATTTTATAACCTGCCTTGCATCATGTCCATTCCCATAAATACATTGGGACAAACAAGTCTACCTTTTTCTCTTCATTGTAGAATCCAAACTCACTCTGGTTTCCTAAGATAAAAATTAAACCTTTACAACGTTTTGCTCTTAGTCAAGTTGACACAAATAGATTCTACAGGCTACTGTATTCATGGTTCATCTTCAAAAAACTCTGTACTGTCAAACTCATATATAGAATTATAGTGAAACTAAAATTTCCTGACTCAGAACGCTGCCCTGCCCCATCATCCATCTTCTGAACTCTAAATTCCACCTCATTGTACCGCAGAACATCTTACAGTGAACCTAAAATAAGACTAAAAACAGCTTGGAGATGAGATGGGGATCTTAGCGCTATCATTTTACCTGAACGAAGACATCAGTTATAGGAATGAAAATTGAGACAGTGGAGGACAGACATGATGCAGTTGGTGTTTAAGGTTGTGGACAATTCCAGGGAATATTGAACCCTATTTTCCTTCTCTAATCATATGAAAAAAAGTGAAGTTTTTGGGATGCCTTGCACTATATGTCCTATCATATAGATCATCCAGATAACAGAAAGTCAGTAAATCCCTGTGGTGCTTAACTGTGTCTTCACTTAGAGCAAAGAGCAAAGAAGGCATGATACGATTTTGCAGCTGGGTCCTTACAGGCCCGGGTATCCTGTAAAGAGTGCCATCGTCATGGGGAACACAGGAAGTTTCCAAAGCCTCAGGAATCTTCCTCTTTCCAAGAGGATGTAGATTCTGATTGTCGTCAAGTTTTCTGAGCTTCTCTCTTTAGAAGTTAGTAGGCTGCCTCAAAATCCTCATTCTATCTGAGAATATGACTCAATGAATCACCAAGGCTCAAAGCTCATGAATAAACATTCCTGTGGTTTCCAGAGATCTTCCCCGCAATGCTTAAACAGACATTCTATCTTCTAAAGGAAATGTAACTTCCCAAAACACTTGAATTGAATTGGAAAATGTAAAATTCTGTGTTGATCCTGGGTAAGATAAGAACTCTGATCTTACCAGCTCCTTTCCTTGAGAGATGGGATAGTTGTCAACTTGTGACTTTTATTTAACTTTCCATCCATTTTCCATTTAACTGTACATCGTTTTAGGCCGCCCAGACCTGTAACCAGCTTGAATGACAGCATGTTCTCCCACTCTGTCCCCTCCTCAGGAAGTCCTTTTATTACCAGGAGGTAAGTTCCAACCCTATTATAAAATAAACCTTTGGTAATGAGCCTTGATTTTGTGGCAAGAAAAATATTCTCGTTTAAGCCAAATGTGGAAGATTACTGTTAGAAACTAGTTTGTAAATATCTGTCACAAGTTGTTAATTTCATTCATTTGGATGCATTTGAAGAGGGCTAGGATGGCTTTGGGAATGAATGTCACTTCTGGAAACTTGCATTTACAATCTATCCACAGGAAGAATGCAGGGTATGTTTAAGTTTTACTGCTGGCACACATGCCTTCTGGCTCATTGAGAAAGTCACTTTTATAGCACTTGGAATGGCCCATTTAAGCCAGGGAATTGGAATTTCAAGATGCAACTGGGAATTACGATGGACATTCTGAAACATCTCGTAATATAAAGCTCCAGATATAAAAGAATCTTCTTAGGGAGCTCTAGAGTTCCTGAGGCTAGAGGCTCAAGACCAAATTTGGAAATATAGTTTCGACATAAGTAATTCATGGATGAGAACAAGAACTTTTAAAAAAAGAGGGTGGATGCATGTCTCATCTTTTTGCACAAAGATCCACTGCCCTGTAAGCAAACAGGTGAAGCGGATTCCTCTCCTAAAACTAGCACAATGAATAGGCAGGGGTCAAGAGGTACTCCAAGTCATTTGATCAAATATCACAAATAAAGCACCAGAGAATTATTTTAAGGAATACATGGAGAAGGCTCACAGGAAGGCAGAAACAAAGGTAAGGACAATTGGAGTGAGTAATTGAATGTAAGATTTCAAATGCCTTTCAGTAGGAAACAAATGGCCTCATGTTTCAAAAACAAACATATAATCAATCTTTTCCCCGAAGAGTTGCTGAGGTACCAATTTCCCTGTAATATCCTGGTACGTTCTAGTGAAGATTTGCAGGCAGTGAGACTCAGAACACTGTTGATTTTTTCTCCGAGTTCCTGGATTTGTCCATCAGCAGG